TTCTCTTTGTTGGGAGATTGGGTTCAAACAGATTGAAAATAGAATTAAAATCAAGGTTTTGAGACATGTAAGATCGCTTTATTTAAATTGATATTTGCTCCCACTCAAAGAGTTTGCTAGGGGCTTCTAGGCAAACCACTTCCCATATACAACAAAATTTTTAGGTGAAGAACTGCAATTAGCAATATTTAAGAACTTTTAAAGAAATCTCTTTGAATAGTTTTTATTTTGAGAGAGAGAGAGAGGAAGAGAGATGAGTTATATAAAACTCTAATATATTTGTGAATGAAGTCTAGGGCCCCATGGATAGACTCTTAGTGTCTTTTTCCCAAAAGTCATAACCCTCCTAATAGGTGTCTGTGTCTTTTGGTTATTAGTAATGACTCTTCTAAAAAAGATGTCTTTTGGTTAAAGATATTATTACCCTTATAAAGAGATGTCTTTTACCAATAGTCAAATCTATTCAATAGTATTTTTTTCCTAATGGTCATTACTATTCAAATAATAATATTTTATAATAGTTCTAACTATTCAAAGTAAATTAATTATTCAATCAAATAATAAATAAAGTATCAGCAATCCCCCCCCCCCCATAATTATTAGTATCTCTCAATCAGAATATATGTCATTTTTAATACAAGAAGGTGTTTTTCAACTTAAACCTTCAATTAGTACAAGTACATCAAAGTTTTATCGAAGCTTAGCATTAAACTAAGTATTTTTCACGATAAAATCAGAAAATACCATCCACAAACTAACATTCCGTTCATATAGATTTCAACATATGTCACTTAACACTACTCGAACCATGTGCTAATCATGGGTTCATGAATATTTACATGAATAAACCCTAAACTCTTGCCAGAAGTGGTACCGTTTCTATATTCATATAGGTAGAATTCTTTTACCATTCTTGTCCCTGCTATTATAGACATTTGTAAAATTTAATTCCATTTAAAGCACATACTCATCAACTATTTATCGTAACAATCAACACTAAATTTCAATTTGGGACTTAATATAAGTTTTAGTGCTTTCTCAATCACTTAACACTCACTTGTTTTTACCCTTTAAACCTTAGAACTAATTTTTGATAGAACGAGGTTGGGTTATTGTTATTAGTGACTATTAAAAAAAAAGGTTTTCAGTCCCATTTGAGTTGATGTAACTGTCAACAACTCCCTTGACAATCGTTTCGTTAAAGGATCCAACAAATTATTGTTTGACCTTCCATAGATAATAGTTACAATACCATCCATTTTTAA